GAAGAGCTTATGGCATGTGGCGTTGTTCTTTAAAAACAAGCACTTTTGATACTTGTACTTCTAATTACTGGTTCAAGTTACTTTTGTACATCTGTCTTCCAGCTCGCTGTCTTTGAAATACAGTTGTCTTTGCCAGAGAAATATCATAATTGGATCTTTCTTGAAAGTAATGGTTTCAAATGTACATGTAGAGCGTACATATTCTCAAAGTTCTGCTTCACCTGTGAAATATATTAACTGTAATTCTGGTGTGAATCAGGATATCTTATTCTTGCCTATGTTATAAAATAAATTAAAATCAAATAGCTATTCACAGAAATTAATTTTCTGTAGCACCAACAAGAACCTTTATCACCAGTAAGAACTGTGGATTAGGTATTCAACTCTAAATTTTGCTTCAGCATTATAGAATAATTTGGCTTTCTTGAAACCTCAGGTGTGTATATATAAGCTGATAGGGCAGACAATAGCTTTGCCAATAAAACTGAGCAAGGTAGGGAAAAGTATGCATACAATACTACTTGTCATTAGCTGTATCTATTTTTTCTGCAGTTCTTTTACTGTAGTCACACTTGAAAATGGAAATTTATTGCAGCAGTTTTTGTCATTTCTTTTGCTCCATATATTAGAAGTAGTTAATACTTGAATACCAAGAAAAGGCAATTGTAAGCATGGAAATGAAGAAAGTAAAAAACCTTCCTTGCTTGATAGATACTGAACTCCACTTTTGTTTTCAAAATGGGTACTTAAATACAAAAAACCTTAACAGCAGTGTCCTCTGTTACAGAAATTATTTTTCTTTCCTGCATGATTGATCCAGTTCCTCACACAGAAATCCTAATGTCTGAGTATTTCAGCCTAATTTGGCAAATAATACTGGAGTGTGTGCATGTGTGTATGTAAATGGCAACTGAGAGTGGTCTATCTTCTAGCATGTCTTGGTGAATGGAGCATCTGCCCCGCCTTTGTCCATACAGAAGAAATAGAATGATTCCTTTGCTGCCTGTATTTGTTTTTGTGGTGTTCTAGGCCAGAAGTGTCTATCTGCTTGTTTGCTTTCTCTCTGTGTTTTTTTAATTCTTTCTTCATTCTAGGTAGAGTGTTACCAAAAGAGCTACTGCAGTCATGAATGAGACTGTATCTAGGGATAGAGAAAAGCGTAAGGTTTCTTCTTAAAAATTTGGAGTCCTGAAGAAACACATGCCAGTAGTATCCTACAACCTAGACCAAACGACTCAACAAGGCATTAGCTAGTCTTTGTGGTGCTATGTGGAATATATTTTGCTGGACTACGTATAATTTTGAACATAATATTTTTTCAAAATGAATGGGATCTCAGATGTAATGACATTCTTGTCCTGAATATTCTTTAATGAGGAAACTGTTAGGTTTATATTTCACATGTAAGCAGTGGTTTCCTTCTACATCTTGCAAATGTAATAAATCCAGCTTCTTTTTGTATGTATGTATGGGAGTTTGAATCAAACTTTCCTAGTAGATTTGCTAGGCTTATCTTTCAGAGATTCACTGCTGCTGCTTCCTTCCCACGGAAGTTCTCCTATTTTCCCTCAGATATCCCAGCAGAAATACGGCTCCTATACTACGAGTCGAGCATGTCCAGGGTACATCAGATTTACTGTGTAGATTGACTGCAGCAAGTTGATGTTCTGGACATACTGACCTTGCTGTGGAGCTTATCTCTGCAGTGACCATCTGTACAGTGTTTCAGAGCACTAGGAAGCCTGCTTTAGAACCAGGCTCTCCTGACTAGGATGCTGCCCATCTGCCCATTCTTTCTGGAATCAGTTTCTTCTGCGTAGCCAAAACTTCTTGGGTAGAGAAAGAAAACTTGCCCAGAGAAAATCAGATGTCTGGTACTGATACTGTTCTCTCGTTCTGCTTTTCCTATGATAACAAAATAGGAATAGAAAATATTAAAAGACTGGATGTAAGTAATAGCAAAGATTCATGCAGAAAAATCATGTTTTTTTGGTTGAAAATGAGGTGCAGTGTGTGGCAGGCAACAAGTTATGAATGTCTGACCTTTTGCCAAACAGGAGTATGTATAAGGATTGGCCTTCCTAATCTATGTAGGAATTACTTCTACCTGCGTTTCAGATATCTTCTTACGTGAACTCTTCTTTGCCTTGTCATTGGCCAAGCTGGCTTCCTCAATGACATCCCTGTAGAAGCAAGGCTCTAGTTTTCAATTCCAGAGTATGTTTAGAAAAAGAAAAGACTAACAATCCAGCAAATGAAATGCATGTATTACTTTCTGGAGAATAAAGCAACCCAGATGGGACTCTGGGAATAGTAAAATATGAGATGTCCAGGCAAAACAGATGTATGATAATCGTCTAATGCTACAAATAAGTTTTAAAGTACATTTAAGAAAATAAGCATAGTTTCTCCTGATTTCTGATTCAGAATTTGTTACTTTATGTGAGTTTAAAGGAACGTACATTACTTTAAGTTTTGAGTATTGTTTTTCATTTGTAGATCTTCATGAATTTAGGGGCAAGATGTTATGAAGAAAACTCTTAGAATGCTGGTGAAAGCATGAATTATTTTAAAAATATATTAAATTATTTTTCTTTTCAATTCTTAAATACTTTTTCCCTGATGCAGTGTTCTGTATAAGAACTTTGGATTTAAAAAAATTAATATGTGGACAAAGTCTAGTGTTTTCCCATTTGGCTGCCTCACAAAAGAGCTACATAATCCTCTAAATCCTACTTTACTCTGGACCAATTGACTTCACTTTCTACTCCCATAAATAGGCAATCTGGAAATTGTCTTCGACACAGATATTTTGAAGCTTGCTCTTTTAGTGATTTGCAGTGTATGAAGACATCTTAATTTTTTTTGTGAGAGACAACATTTATAATGATAATGTTTTCATAAATTTATTTGCACAAAATTGAAACTAGTTTCTTCTGGAAAATTGACCAGATTCCATAGCCATTCTAAAAAATTTGTTTTCCATTTTTGCAATTGCTTTCTTCTCATGTATTTACTTTTCTGGTTCTCCTTCTGTGAAAATAAGGGTGGATTTTGGTTATTCTTATCTGTCTGGAGAGGCTTATTGACTATTTTTGTGTGTTTATATATATATATATTTATATATATTTGATTTCGTTTATGGTTCAATTTCAGTTTTACACTGGAACAAATGTCTATCTCACAGTGATGCTGAGACTACAGTATGGACTTGTACCTATACAGAAGTATGTGTATCATTTATAAACTGTGATAATCCTTGTTTTAAATTGTTGTCTCCAGTTTGTTAGATTAGACTAAAATACATGCCAGTTTACAACTTGTACAACGATACATAGTTTTGCTCTCAGCAATAATCTAGGTGAGAAAACAAATCTGTCCTGCTGGACTTCCTTGCATTCTTCAGCTGTTTGTTTTACCACATGCAAGGATTATTTAGAATTTGGATACTCTTATTTCTTATGGGTTTTAGATGTTGTTACTGTGTCCTCAAGTTTGTTCTTCCAGGATTCATGAACAAAAAAGTTAAAATGTTTGTCTCTGGCTTTAGTTTCAGCTTTTACTTGAGTGAGGTTTATGTTTGAAATTTGTCTTCATCAGATGTAATTTTTAGGTTAGGAATGAGATTTTTCTTTTTAATATCCTGTTTTTTTTTAATTGTGTCTTCTGTTGGCAAACAGATTAGTTATCTAATGATATTGGTCAACACTACTACTGGTATAGTTTAGTTTTGTTTTAGCTCTCCCATAAAAGCTGCACTGGCAAAAGTGTTTGCTCAAGATCTAGGTTATAACTTCACCAGGAGGTTTTTGCTACTGTGAACGTACTGGTAAAAGTGGACTTAAGTGGCTGCCTAGTTTTCAGTAGGCCTAAAATGAGGATAGTCGTAAACTGTCCTGCATTCCATCTGTATGGGGTTTTATGTTTGTTTATGTTACTGGTGTCTATAATACCTAGATTTGCAGCTGACTTAGGATTTTGAGGCTTTGTGTTCTTTTCCATTGTATGCACTATTCTGTGAAATACTTGCTAAAATTATTTTTATCCCTATGGTAGTGATTTAGTACAGGAAATAACATCTGTTCCTGCTGTGTGTGTTTCTTTTCTTTTTCCTTTCTTTCAATATGAATGTAACATTGTGTATTTTCAAGCTAGATTTTACTATCTGAGGTCGTGCTAAAACGGACTCCCTTTGAAACTGTTTTAGCGCAGATAGAAAGCCAAATCAAATCACCTTATTGGTACATGATAGTTTTATGTTCTATATCTCTGTATGTTGATCAGACCACCTATCTAAAATATTTTTACTTTACATATACTTTTATTCTACTTCATTCAGAAGTAATGATATCTCCCTGTTTGCGAGGTTGAGTTTTCTGCATTTTAGTCACCTTTGTTAATGTTTCAACAACTCTTTTTTTTGTTGTCTCTCAAATGTAAAGTTTGCAGCATTAGATACTGTATTGGCTGTAAGTCATCCCACAGATTCTCATAGAATGTTTCTAAACTTTTTGGATGAACTGACTATGATCTTCCCTCAAAACATTTTATGAAACTTCATGAATTTTTCTTAGACTTGTAATTGAAAATATTATTAAGCTACTTGCTTTTTATAATACGGTTCTAGGAATAGCTGTGGACCCTTTATCATGACCTTTGAAGCAGAGCCATAATGAAACAGTCTGGGTCAGCAGCTACTGGTTCATGACCTCTTCCCCTAGCAAAGTTTTTTTTTCCAGTTATTGCCAGGAACTTACATAAATAACGGCTTTAAATTCTCTGTTGCAACACATACACATGGTATGTGTTACACTAGGCTGAATTTTAAAGCCATTGATTTGTTCTTGATAATTTATTTTCATGTATAAATTAGTAGATTCTCATTTTACACAAGTGTTCATTTAAGATTATTGTTTTTACTTATGCCTTAGTATCATAAGTGGACATGTTCACCTAAAAATAAAAAAACCTCAAACCTTTCTAATTTGACTTGCAGGTATCTCCATTTTACTGATACCAGAAAAAAAGTGATTCAAGTTGGCATCCTTTGGGAATCCTTCTAGCCAAAGGTAAGCATAATTTCTAACCAGTGACAAATATATTTTTAGTATGTTTGTAGTATTATGATACCTTTTAAATAAAATGGCAGCTGTGCTACTGTCTGTCTTGATGTTTGACATCTCACAAACTAGATTTCTTTGGGATATTTAAAGCATCTTAATGAACCCATAAGAGAATCATTTATATGGCTCAGCATACAAGTGAAGTTCAGTCTTTTTTGAAATCTGTAACTTGGCAGATTGCCTCTTATTAATGTTGAAGCGTATGGTACAATCACTTTGAGGCAACACTTATTATACAGCTGTTATTATACAGAAGGATGATTGCATTTCTTAATGCATCGGATAAGCCAAAAATAAAATCACAATTTTGGTGATTTGGAAATTTGGAAATTGATCTTCCTCTGGAAAAGAGCTAATATGACCAGAAATAGACACTAGCATAATACGCTGAAGTGTCCTTTTAACGGCTAATTAGGCTGCTTGTAGAAAATCCTGAAACTACAGTTGCAAAAGTCATGAGAACTTGATATTTTCTGCAACAGGAGTTAAGAGGTGCAGCCATCCTCCTATAGCTCCTAATTCTGCAGACTCCTTGCTCCAGTCCAACTAGATTGCTTTGTAGTTCTAGCGTATGGCTCAGGTTTAGAAATACTTCATGTTGGCTGAACACAATCTGTCATCTAATGAAGACATGCTCCCTGCAGCACAGTGAAGAAATGAATAATTTATTGCGGGGTGAACACCTTCCTGTCCATGTGTGCATGCATGTTTACTTCTGAATTAAACCTGCTTTTGGGAATATAGATAAATATAGATTTACATATAGATAAATTGTTTACTTTCAAGAACATGCAAACATTTGGGAAGTATTTCAATACAAACTTGAAAAACTTGATCAAACTCATTCATTCTATTTTCACTCCATGGGTTCACCAATAATACTATACTCTAGAGAGAAATCTGCCACATAAATAATTCTTCAGTTAATATATCTAGTAATCTGGTCACTGTCAGACATTGTAAATATGTACTATAACTACTTTTGTTTGAAGAATGGAGTATCATAATGATACACAGTAGAAAATAAATTGTGTATAATTGTGTGAGATGAGTAAGAATTTCAGAATTATGCTCAGTTGCTTGTGGTCCAGATGAAAAACGTTCAGTCTCTTACAAACTGGAAAAAAACTAACTTAAAAGAAAAGCAATGATATGCAAAATTAGTAATATGGATTTCTCATATTAGAAGGTGAAAGAGATTGTAGCGAGAGGGAGAAGTAGTTGTGGGAGATTTCTTTTGTAGAGAAGAAATAGAATAGTACAGGGCCACAGTATGTCTTGTGGCTCATTCAATGTTCCTGGGGCAGTCTAATGTCAAACATGTATCAGAGATGTATTTTATCACCAAACATTAAAGGTGTAAATAAGAGGTAATAAATGTTTGTAGATTTAAGACTACACTTTAGTATAACTCAGGATTTCACAATTTTACAGCTGCTGTAGGAAAAAGTAGGAAAGTACAATGTCGAAACTTTTGTCTAAGAGAAGCTCTCAAAATTTTCCCACTTTCATGTTAGCACTGAAGTTACCCTTCAGCGGGTATCATAGGAAGAAGTGCTGTACTCATGTTTCTTCTTTCTATGTAATGGGCAGATTTGGAGGAGGAGGGGGGAAAGTTGAGTCCCTTCTACCTCCCTTCTTTCTAGATTAATAATATTATGAGGATATGATCAATGTGAAATCAAATCAGGTTAAAAGCAGACACAGCGAAGTTTTAGGTAATATTCTAAGCTAGGCTGCTAATTTTTGTAGTAGTCGCTTTTTCTCTTTTGTCTTTTTCTCTTTCGCACAAAGCACAAAAAGAAAGAATTATATACCGTTATACCTAGGAAAATAAGTAAATGTTCTGAGAAACTAGTCTAATTTTAGCTTTTTTCCTGATTATTGTTAGAACTGAAATGTTGGGTTTTGTAAGAGTAAATTGTATCTATATCTATAAATTATAGATGATTATAAATGAATTATGTTAAATAAGTTATGCTTCATACTCTTATTGTATTCATTCTAGTCTCTTCATTTCCAGTCTTTTCAAGCACCATACTTCTGCAGTAAATACAGTGCTCCACTACTCTGTTCTTTTACACAGGAAGAATGTAAAACATAATTACTGAAGCTGGTTAGAAACTTCTGTTTTCTGACAAAAACTTATTTTGCATGATCTGTTTTTTTTCTAAAATATTCCTATTTTGGGTCAGGAAAATAAAACTAGATTTTTTTTTTTAATGGAACTGTCCCAAAATCTTTTATTCTTTGTAAGTTCGATGTTAAGCTATGTTTGCCTAGGGGGCAAACTAAGCTTGAAAAAGCTAGTGTTCAAGCATCTAAGGTCCATCCTGGTGGCCAGCTTTTCTGACTAGGCTGCATCTGTTGTGAGGCAATAGTTTTCTTTCTGACTGAGCCAGGTATAGTCATGCAGTTCCCATGACAGACATCTACACCATAGACGAGATATTTGACTAGGGAGGCCAGCCAAACATGGGAGACAGAGCAGAGAGAGCGCAGAATTTCTAACAGCTGCTTGTGAAGTACCCATGCCTGTTGAAGATACAGGACAGGACTGTCCTTCCAGAATATTCCAGGTGTCCCTCCAGAATATTCCAGGTGTTCCAAATGCAGGCTTGAAGATAATTTCTGCTTTATACTTCATAATACTCTACATGCAGTTGCAGTTTGTACTTCTTTTTTCCAGTGCAGTAGTTTTCTGTCTCTATCATATTGATGACACCAGTAAAACTTTTTTCCTTTCCAACTACATATTGTTTCCAGGATAAAAAAAAAAATTCTGAAAGAAGAATTGATTTTTTTTATTTTATTTTTAATTTATTATGCATTCAGTGATTTGTATGAAGTAAGATAACTGCTTTTGGATTCTGTACAAGGTTGTCAATCTATTCAAAGAATCATAGATTTAGGAGAGTCTGAATACTTGACCTTCCTTGCCAGTGGTTTGGCATGGTTGGCTTATGTTTTGATGCAAGAAACAAAATCGAACTTTCTGGCCAGCCACCTGAGCCCTCTGCCCTCTGTGCACTACAGCAGTTAAACTATGTGAATGCTCAATAGCTACATGTTATTGTTTATCAGGTTTTAAGTGGCTTCCTTTGCTCACATCAATTTAATAATTTCTTTCCCCTTCTCATCTAAGACTCCACTTTTCAATAAATGGTCTGTTCAGTAATATGAAATAAGATCACCGGACTCCTGTGTTACTGAGCCTGATGAAGCTCTGCTATATTAATGGCAGTGTAGAACATACCTCTGAATCTTTCTTACTACTTTTCATATAAACAGTGTGTTTTGCTTTAGAAATAGTCAGACTGAGAAAAAAATATTGTAACGCTTTGTATTATGTGTTGTCAAGAATATCTGTGTTTGAATAATGCTAATTATGTAGTAAAGAAGAACTTAACACTGGGAAATCTAGTTTAGTATTGTATGATAACCACTTCTAGCATTACATTTGCCTTATCTTTTGGCTGTATAGTTAGCCAAGGCATAGTAGCTGTTTAAATAAATCTGGAAGAAGCTGAAAAATATAATTTGTAATTCTCTTTTGCTTTCTTTCTATGGTTCAAAGTAATAGTAGTTGTAATATAATAATCCTCCTTTTTGCAGCATTACAAATGTCTAATCTTGCATGTGCTGGTATATTAATGAGGTGCATTGTTTTTCTTGCATAATTTGCAAGGTATGTAACAAGGAATATTGCTTTTTACAGCTGGGAAAAGAAACTTGTGGTTTGCTCATCCATGAACTAAATACACATTGATTTTTATTTTTTGTTCCATATATTCTGCGAAGACGCTTATACCCAGAGAACTATTTTGGCATAGCTTACACTTGTGGTGGCACTGGTACTGATTAGCTGTTTTGGTAATCCTGACTTTGAAATATGTAGACCTAGAGTATTTTGTAGACCTTAAGAACTTATTCACTCTTTCTATCATAAGAACAGGCATAAGAAGATAGAAAGGAAATTATTCTCATTGTAGAAAACTGCTAGTGGTTTTGTATCTGAAGAAAGTTAAGTAGTTAACCATTTATTAAAGAACGATAACACTAAGAAGTAAAAAATATTTGAAGTTTGTTTCTGTTTAAGATGTATTTTAAAAGTGGTCACACAAAACTAGATGTTTGAGAAATGTTTACTATTTCAACTGTTTAAAAAGGAATCTAAATTACTTATATTATGTTGTTTAGCTCTTGCAACTGCACAGGCCTGCATTACGTCTGTAGACGTACTGTTAAGGCAGTGGAACAGATAATAAAATTAGAGGCTGTACATCCACATAGAATATATGTTAGATTTAAGTGATAAACTTACCCATATTTGCCTAAGTCATCATCTGCTTCCTGGGTGACCTTCTGGTTGGGAGTATGTGTCCAAATATATGAAATGAATATAGAATCAGTAAACCTAAATGCAGCATTTGGTCTTAGTTTTGCATCCAGTGGTGTATTTCCTTTTAATAATAAATAAATTTAAAATAAGTTCACCCCTCTTCACCTACTGATAAACTAACCACTAGCTACTGAAACCACTATTCCTTTCATATTTCTGATGGTTATTGTATAGGGACACGTGTACATGGGACAACTTATCTGATCTTGAAGTTTGGTATTTTAGTAGCATATTTGTGACCTGGGAAAGAACCTGCTTCTAAAGGCTTATGTATTTATGTGAATTAATTAAAACCTAACCTATTGACAGTTTGTATATGGTGTTGATAGTTATCATATGGGGGTAGATAGAACAATGTAGTTTGTGCATAAACGTACCATATTTTCAGAAACTAATGCAAAGAAAGAATGTATAGCAGTAAACTTGATCCTAAAATATATGGAGAGTATAGTATGATACAACTTTTTCATAGAAAACATGGCATGCATTTGGTGCAAAGAAAACTGTTTTCAGAAGCTGAACTGTATTAGACAAATCAGAGAAT